CTGCCTAAATAGCAGGCACTCAGTAGATGCTAATTCATTTTGCTTACCCTCTCTCTCCCTTCATTCTCTTACCTCAGGATCCTCGTAAGTCTTTTTTGCAGATTAGGATTTTGGTTTGGGGGTAACAGTGAGGCAGAAACAAGCATGGATGTAGAGCAGTGTTGCCATTTGGCTATTCTTTTTTTTTACAACAGTCAACAGTAAAGTTAAAGCTGGACATTTTTTTGCTGTAATTGTTGGACACAATTAAGTACTCTCTTCTTGAAACTCTACTTTAATTTGTTGACATGCCATGCTTTCCTAGTTTCCCCCTAGCTCTCTGACCAGCCAACCCTTAAATGTAGATACTGCCTTGTCCATGGTTCTATCCTTGGCCCTTTTCCTTCTAACTATATATTCTTTTTTTTCTGGGGTTTTACACATCCCCATACTTCAATCACCTCCTTCACCCATTCAGATACTTATCTCCAGCTCTGGTCTGAGCTCTTGATTATTTTGTTTATGTGCCATGTATTTAGCTGCTTATTGGCTATCTTAACCTTGATTTTATATTGGCACTTCTGACAAGTTTTCTGTTAGAATATTTTCAGTTTAAGTAGCAGAAAACCTATCTCATACTGGCTTAAGCATTAAGGGTATTTATTGGCCTATATAACAGGAATCCAGAGACTAGCTTTAGGGTAGTTTGATCTGGTGGCACAGCTGTATAAATTAGCTCCCATTTTGGTGCTCTACTGTGCAGTGTCTGCTTTATCTGCTAGTTCTCTTCTTTCATGGTCACAAGGTCGCTGCTGGCAGCAGCATGCCAGGGCTACATATTTTCTCATTTACATTCAGAGGAACAGAATAGAATTGATTGGACTTGGTGACTTAGATTTAAGAGTCAGGAAACGTTAGGGATGATTCCCAGGGTTCTAGCTGTTGCCTCTGGATAAATTGAATTCTCTTCACTGAAATACTGGAAAGAAAAGCAGGATATAGAAAGGCAGAAAAAATTAGTTCATGTAAACATCCAAATACTTATTTTAGTTATATGCACATCTCTCTCTTGTCAGAATGAAATTGTTAAAGATAGTGACATAATCTTCTTTCACCATTGTTCTTAGCACCTAACCCTGAACTTGGCACATAGTATATACGTAATATTTGGAGTGAGGGGGAATGGATGGATGTGTAAATATGTGTATATATAATACTGCTTCTTGAGATTATCTATCTCTACCCTGAGCAGAACCCAAAATACCGAACTTATAAGAGTTCTTAATTAAAAATTAGGTGGGTACTATCAATAATAACAGTTATAATGGCAGTATTTATACAAAACCCCCAAGGAGACGGCTTGAGTTCTTGGTGGCCATGTGTTCAGAATTCTTTGTAAGTAATGTTATGTAGAATCCAAACTCATATTTCTAATGTATGTGTTCATATTTTATACAAAGAAATATCTTGACAATACCAACTATTGAATTATTTAAATCACTTGGTATTAAGGGTGCTTTTTTTGTGGAGTAATCATGGTGTTTGAATATCAGCTCTAATACAGTTTATAGTATAGACTCTTAACTACACAGTGTACGATGTAGAAGTTAAGTGGAGGGGACATAGATATCAGCCAACCATAAATTCCTCCTCTGCTTCATACAGCTGTGTGCAGGGAGATGTACTATATAATAGATTTTTGAAGTGAGCTCAGCCAGTGTTGGAATTCTAGATTCACTAAAGCTTTGCAGTCTTGGGATACTTGCTTTAACACTTTTCCCAACTGTAAAATAGGGCTAATACCTCTTATTAACTAAGAACACATGATAAAGTACCTACTAGCATGTTTGGTTTTTAAGCAGCTATGTAAGAAATATTAGCTATTATTATTAGCAACCCAGAAGAAACAAAAAAAGTTGGTTAGGCTTTAAAAGGCAACATGTGCCTGTCCGGCATGGCTTAGTGGTTGAGCATTGACCCAGTGAGCCAAGAGGTTACCAGTTCGATTCCCAGTCAGGGCACATGCCTGGGTTGTGGGCTCAATCATTGGAGGGCATGCAGGAAGCAGCTGATCAATCCCTGACTGGGAATTCAACTTCCATGTCCTGGATCATAGGTTGATCCTCAACGGTTGAGCCACGTTGGCCAGGCTAAAAAAAATGTTTTAAGGTGTTATACAACATTCACTTTATAGAATTTTTGTTTTGCTTTTAGAGAGGAATTTTTGTGTGACTAGTTTACATTGAATATTATTTTTACAGCTTTATTGGAGTATAATTTAAGTGTACGATTCAGTAATTTTTTTTTTTTAGTAAATTTACAAATTGTACAGCTGTCACCACAATCCAGTGTCACAATATTTCCATCGTCCCAAAAAAATAGCTTGTGCCATTTTATTTAGTCTCTATTACATTGAATTTTAAAAAAACTTTTTATTGTGACAAAATATACGTAACGTAAAATTTACCATTTTAACCATTTTTAAGTGTACACATTCAGCTGCTTTTAAGTACACTTACAGTGCTGTGCAACCATAACCTTATCTATTTTAAAACTTTTTCTCCATTCCAGGGACTGTTTCTATTAAATAATAATTCCTCACTCCCCTCCTCTCTAACTCTAACCACTGGTAGCCTCTGTTCTACTTTCTGTCTCTGTGAATTTGCCTATTCTAGGTACCTCAGATAAGTAGAACCATAAAATATTTGTCCTTCTATGTCCTTTGCTTAGCATTAAGTTTTCAAGATTCATTCATGTTTCCTCGGATTTTGAGGCAGGCATGGCTATGAGTACATAAAGTTGAGACTTACAGATCAGTTAAGTTGAGTGGGCAAGGAGCCCTGGCCGGTGGTTGAGCATTGTCCAGTACACCAAGAGGTTTCCAGTTTGATTCCGAGTCAAGGCACATGTCCAGGTTGTGGGTTTGATCCCCAGTAGGGGCATGCAGGAGGTAGCCAGCCTATCAATGTTTTTCTCTCTCTTCCTCTCCCTTCCACTCTCTCTTAAAAAAAAAAAAAAAAAAAAAAGGCAAGGAATTTGGGACAACATGGATGGACTTTGAGGGTATTTTTATGCTAAGTGAAACAGATGAATACCGTATGATCTCACTCATACTTGAAATATTTAAAAGTAAGTAAAACAGAAACAAACTCATGGATGCAGATAAAAGGCTGGTGGGTTACCAGAGGGGAAGGAGTCAGAGGGAGCTTGAAATGAGTAAAGGGGATCAGTTGCATGGGGACAGGTAAAAACTAGACATTTGGTGGTAAGAACACTCGTATCTATAATAGATGTCAAATTATAATATTGTACACCTGAAACTTACTATAAACCAATGTTACCTCTATTTTTTTTATCCTCACACGAGGATATTTTTTCCATTGCTTTTCATAGAGGGAGGGAGAGAAACATTGACGTGAGAGAGACACATCGATTGGTTGCCTCCTGCACATGCCCCATCCGCAGCCAGGGATCGAGCCTGCAACTGAGGTACATGCCATGCCCTTGGCTGAAATAGAACCCGGGACCCTTTAGTCCACAGGCAGACGCTCTGACCACTGAGCCAAACCAGAGAGAGTGGGCAAGGAAAATTTGATCAGAGTTCTCAAGCCATCTCTTGGGAAAGATTGCCTTAGACATTCAAATATTTGATTCTGGTTTCTCCCAACTTCTAATGTATCTGTTTGTGTCCTTGGAGTATAATAAGGGGAAATTATTTGAACTGTTTTCACCTGTTTGTATAACTGTCCATTGAAGAAGCCAGGATAATGGTGGCATCCCAGACTCCATTCAGCTCTAGGTTATTGAGTTTTGTCATATACTTTCATTACTCATGAATATAATTTACCTTAAAACTTGGAACACTGTACCGTATTAAGTTTGTATATCTTGCTGTGTACTTTTCTGAAGTTCTTTTTGCACCTAGGTGTATAATCAGTTGAGTGATAGATTATTCCCACCCTCTGCAACTCCTGGTATTTTCATTTGTACTCTCAACATGAGATATTGATCAAGCTACCCAAGACATTGTTACTGTGGAGTTAGGGCTTAATTTTTGATGTTCCATATAGCATTCAGCTTTCCAGTCACTCCATCAGGCTATTTTTCACAGGCAAACCACTTCAGAAGTAACACATGTCAAAATAACAAATGTTTGAGGACCTGTAGCTAAGTAATGTTTATATATTCTATAATACCTCGTATCTGAAACTGTTAACAGAGGACTAAGAGAGTATGGAGAAATTGGAACCCTCATACACTGCTGGTAGAAATGTGAAATGTTATGGCTACTTTGGAAAATAGTCTTTCAAATGTTAAACAGAGTGTTGCCATAGGACCCAGCAATTCTGCTTCTGGGTATATACCCAGGAAAATTAAAAATATATGTCCACACAAAAACTTGTACACAAAAGTTCTTGGCACCATTATTCATAATAGCAGAAAGGGGGAAAAGACAGATGTCCATCAATTGATAAATGAATAAACAGAATATGATACATCCATACAATGGAATACCATTCAGCCTTAAAAGATGTGGTCACGATATATGCTACAACATGAATGCACCTTTAAAAACTTAATGCTGCCCGGCCGGGTGTGGCTCAGTGGTTAAGCGTCAACCTAGGATCCAGGCGATCAGGGTTCGATTCCCGGTTAGGGCGCATGCCCGGGCTGCGGGCTGCAGCAGATCAATGACTCTCTCATCATTGATGTTTCTATCTCTCTCTCTCCCTCTCCTTTCCTCTCTCTGAAATCAATAAAGATATATTTAAAAAAAAAACACAAAAAAACTTAATGCTAAGTAAAAGAAGCCAGTCACAAAAGACCACATGATTTCCTTTATATTAGAAGTTGAGAATAGGCAAATTTAGAGACAAAAAGTAAATTAGTGGGGAACAGAGATGGGGGTGGGTAGAGGAGAGTGACTGCTAATGGGTATGGGTTTTCTAGGCGGGAGATAATGAAATGTTCTAAATATTGATTGAGGTGATGGTTGCACAACTCTGTGAATATACTAAAAACCATTGAATTATACACTTTAAATTGGTGAATTGTATGATATTTGAATTATATCTCAATAAAGCTATTCTTTTGAAAAAAGAGGATTAAGAAACACTAAAACTCTGAGTTCTGACTTTTCTCTGGTCTCCAAAAGATCTGTTTCCTTTCATTGGAAATTTTGTGTTAGTTACTCTTTTTCTTCATTATAACCAGATCAGAATTGGAATAGCTATTATTTTACTGTGCACTACAGAAAGGAAGATGCCTCAAGTACATACTTTTTTTTTTTTTTGCAAGAGCACCAATTACCGTTGGTAGTCTTTTTCATCCTAATACTTGAGTCTGTGAATTTGGGGACATAATATCATATCTTAGGTATGAAAGTCATAGCCCAAGGGTAAAGAAATTAAATTTTGTTTAGCACCTTCTAAGTGCCCACTTTACAAACTTGGGGAGGTAAAGTAACTTGCTAAATTTTTTATCTTGTAGAAGTAAGCAGTTTGAACATATGTTTCTATGACTCAAAAAATTTTCTTTCCAGTGCCTCAGTTATTTCCTACTAAGAAAACAACCCTGGATTTAAAAGTGTTGGAGAAATTCTGCATTTACATTTCAAAGGTATAAAAAAACAAAGTGAGAAGGGAAAATGAAAATTAGCTTGTCTTTAATAATTTTGCTGCATTAGTAGAGAAAATACTACCTCTTAACAACTTTAGCACCTGAGTTGTTCATTAAATAAAGCCAAGTTTTGGGTTTTTTTAAAATATGTTTTTATTGATTTCAGAGAGGAAGGGAGAGAGAGAAACATCCATGAGAGGGAGTCCTTTATCGGCTGCCCCCTCCATGCCCCCTAATGGGGTTTAGAACATTTCATTATCTCACGCCTAGAAAACCCATACCCATTAGCAGCCAGGCATGTGCCCTGACTGAGAATTGAACTGTGATCACCTGGTTCATAGGTCAACGCTTAACCATTGAGCCACACTGGCCAGACACAAAGCCAAGTATTTTAAGATAATGAATCTGTATCTGTAGAATTAAGGGCAAATAACAATGGGCTCCTCTGATCCTTGCTATATTCAGACAACTGAGGCTTCCTATTAGATGCTCTTTATCTAATTCATCTTTCTCATATTTCTCCCTTTATAAGATAGACCAATTCAAGATAATGCGTGTGTGACGTGAAGAACTTTTACCATTCATAAGATTATTTTACGTGAGAGTTAAAACCAAAGCACCTGACTTTGAGTGCATGCACAAAAGGCCAGTCACAAAGGAATGTCTCTTTTTTGAGAGATGTAGACTCAATAGACTGTCCAGGTGAGTGTAGTGTTTGGTTTCAGGCATCTCTACAGTAAGGACCTAATTGACTGGAGAGTATTTGTAGTTTACTTAGTTTCTAGGAAGATATAGGTTAGGTTAGCTGAGTTAACTGAGCCTCCATGTATATATTTATGATTCTTCTCAGTACCTTTACCACCCCACCCTCTTTCCTTATGGACTATTTAAGCAACTTGATTCTGATCTCACTTGTATTTTTTTCCCACAGGATGGATAGGATGACAGAAGATGCTCTTCGCCTGAATCTATTGAAGCGGAGCTTGGACCCAGCAGATGAGCGAGATGACGTCCTGGCCAAGCGACTCAAAATGGAGGGGCATGAGGCCATGGAACGTCTGAAAATGTTGGCACTGCTCAAACGGAAGGATTTGGCAAATCTTGAGGTGCCTCATGAGTTACCCACCAAACAGGATGGCAGTGCTGTCAAGGGCTATGAAGAGAAACTCAATGGGAACCTCAGGCCTCATGGAGACAACAGGACTGCTGGAAGGCCAGGCAAAGAAAACATCAATGATGAGCCTGTGGATATGAGTGCTAGACGGAGGTATGGCTTGGTTCAGCTGCCTCCGGGGATAGTGTTTTCTCATAAACTAAGCCTATGAAAATGGAGTGAATTCCAATGAGAAGAGGGTTTTTTCCATCCTAAAGTTTCTCTTTTTCGCCCCGGCTGGTATGGCTCAGTTGGATCATCCTCCCGTGGACAGAAGGGTCTTGGGTTCAGTTACCAGTCAGGGCACATACCCAGGTTGTTGATTCAGTCCCCAGTTGGGGTGCATGCAGGAGGCAACTGATTAGTGTTTTTCCCCACCACCACCACTCTCTTCCTCTCTCTCTAAAAACCAGTAAGTAAATAAATGAAAACATTTAAAAAATTATTTTTAAAAAAAATTGATTCTTTTTTCCCCCCAAAATATATTTTTATTGATTTTTTTAGAGAGAGAGGAAGGGTGAGGAGGGAAGAGAGAAACATCGATCTATCAGCTGCCTACTGCACTCCCCCAACCAGGGATTGAGCCGGCAACCTGGGCATGTGCCCTGACCAGGAATCAAACAGGTGACCTTTTGGTGCATGGAACAGTGCTCCACCAACTGAGCCACACCAGACAGGCTTAAAGTTTCTTGAAAGAAGACAGGGTGTGTGCCATATGGGTTGACCCTGAATTCCCTCTCATTTCCAAATGAAACTAGGTGTCTCAGAAATTGGCTTAGCATAGAGAGAATCATAGTTCTTACTCTTAAGATAAAGTAGTCGTGCCCTAGCTAATTTTCTCAGTGGTTAGAGCATTGGCCTGTGGACTGAAGGGTCCCGGCTTTGATTCTGGTGAAGGACATGTTTCAGGATCGGCTCGTCAGGACTTGTGCAGGAGGCAACTAATAAATGTGTAAATAAGTGGAACAGCAAATCAAGCTCTCTCCTTCTCTCTCTCTGCCCCTCTGTCTCCTTCTCTCTCCCTCTTCCCTACCTCTCCCTCTCTCTCAAGTCATTTTTTAAAAATTTACTTAAAAAAAAAAGATAAAGTCATTTCTGAATAAAGGTGAGACTATAGTATTGATACCCCAATTAAGAGTGAGTTAATACACACTTTCACTCTAATCTTATAGCTATTTTAGGAGGAAAAAGTAGTCTCTTCTTCAGATCATCCCAGGAATTTTAGGACCTGTTTATTATGAAGTCCCAGCTTTTATTACATAAAAAAAACAAGGCCCAGCTTTTCTTGTGCCAACAAGGAAATTATCTCCATGTGGTAATTCTCTACATTCTTGCTTCATTTGTGCCACTTCCCAACATATGCATACAGATTCGCTTTTACACATACACTCATGCTTTGTTCTCTCTCTCTCACACACACAGAACACAAGCACACATTTTTACAGGCTTTTTTTCTGGTGTCAAGGTTGAGTACTTAAAACTGTGGAGTGCACACTGACAAGAGGAACCTAGAACTGGCTGAGGGTAGAGCCTCCCTTGACAGTGAATCACAGTATAGACAAACCCTAGTTTTAAAAACATTCAGTTTGTTGTGGTTCAGAAATAGCTGATAGGCATGAGAATTACTCTTCAGTGTTCAGTTGCTTTCCAGCTGATCTTCTGTCTTTGTCCTAGAACTGGTCCAAGGCAGGATCTTTAAACTGGACTGATGGAGAAAGATGAAAGGAGGAATGGCTATAACCTTACCTGAGTTTCTTTCTCTACACTTTTTTAAAAAATATGTATCTTGCCCGGCCGGCATGACTCAGTGGTTGAGCATTGACCTAGGATCCAGGTGATCGGGGTTCGATTCCTGGTCAGGGCACATGCCCGGGTTGCAGGCTCGATCAATGGCTCTCTCATCATTGATGTTTCTATCTCTCTCCCTCCCTCTCCCTTCCTCTCTCTAAAATCAATAAAGATATATTTAAAAAAATAAAAATAAAAAATACATACCTTTATTGATTTCAGAGAGAGAAAAGGGAGAGGGAGAGAAAGAGAAAAACATCAGCGGTGAGAGAGAGTCATTGATTGGCAGCCTCCTGCACGCCCCCAAATGGGGATCAAGCCCGCAACCAGAGCATGCACCCTGACCAGGAATTGAACCGCGATCTCCTGGATCCTAGGGTTGATGCTCAGCCGCTGAGCCATGCCCAGCGGGGCTCTTTCTCTACATTTTATTGTTTACTTACTAGTATTATCTCAGGATTACCTTTTTAAGAAACACACAATGTGCCCGGCAGGGCGTGGCTCAGCAGTTGAGCGTCGACCTGGGATCCAGGCAATCAGGGTTCGATTCCCGGTCAGGGCACATGCCCGGGTTGCGGGCTCGATCAGTGACTCTCTCATCATTAATGTTTCTGTCTCTCTGTCTCCCTCTCCTTTCCTCTCTCTGAAATCAATAAAGATATATTTAAAGAATAAACAAATAAATAAATAAAGTCAAAATACATTCCCAAACCCCCTTTAAAAAAAAAAAAAGAAACACCCAATGAGGGAACATTATTCTTGGTATAGCATTAAAAACCCTTAGCACCCTGGCTGGTGTGGCTCAGTTGGTTGAGCGTCATCCCATGCACCGAAAGGTCACCAGTTTGATTCCTGGTCAAGGCACATACCCAAGTTGTGGGTTCAGTCCCCAGTCGGGGTACATGTGGGAGAGAACTGATCTGTGTGTGTCTCTCTCTCTCCCTCTCCCCCTCCCCCCTTCTCTAAAAAAAAAAAAAAAAAAA